ATTTTACAATATTTTATCAAGAAATGAAAATGGTACACTTCCGCAAGAAGTTTTTTTGCGTGTCTATGTTTAGAAAACGACGACGCGACCGCGACGCCACGCTGTCCCACGTGGGCCCATATATGTTGCGACGTGGAGAAGAGTGTGCATATGAGACCTGGAACGAATACCCCATCACACGTGTAATAGCGTGGGATGGCGTGGGGTGGCGTGTTGCATAGTGTGTACGCAACACATGTAATTAAATGGAAAAACATACGCACAGATTTTCATGGCGTGGCGTGCCGTGTGACGTAATGAGGTCCCGGCTTAATCCTCACACGTTTCATAAACAAAAATGTGCAACAGCGTATGACCGGAAAAAAACGGTTTGAAAGCCACTATCGATGGCATTCACCATCGCGGTTTTACGGTTTTACCAAACCCCTTTAAAAAACCATGTTTGACTAATAGGGAAGCCAATATTTGGACAGTTCAAGATTTGCATGAGATTTCCTATGTTTCCAACGACGACCATGAACCACCAGATGTATATTACAGTGTCTATGATAACACTACAGACTACAGCCAAATAATATCCAGACGCATAGAATTTCATTGTTATAGTATAGCTTGGTAGTTTAAAAAACACAACGTTATGTTAAATAAGTAGGTGTTATTTTAACGATACAAAATCATTTTTTTAAATGCACATGTACATGTACGCTTCGTTTGCAAAACAATACACAATTATTGTGAAAAAAGTAATAATAAAATTTGCGATATCATTCTTAAATAAGTGCAAAAATTGTTTCGCAGTTCGTTTTTTTATTGCTTTAACGGTGTAACTTAAAACAAACTTTAATTCTAAACAAACCAAACCAAAACAAGCAGTAAGTTCCATGCAACAACAATAAACCATTGCAACCTAATACATTGCAACCCAATAAACCATATATTGAAACTTTATATTTGCATTCTATTTCCATATACAGCAAATATACAGTACAATATACAGGGTGCTACAAATTCGAGGTACGAGCATTGATATCTTGGTAACCGTAATAGATACGAAGATGGTTAAATTGGGGCAAAGTTGCGCCTTGGGATGTTCACTAACATGTCATCAAAAAAGTTTTAAAATTTTCAAGGTTTGTTGAGTTTTTTGGGAAAAACGGATTTTTTTCAAAATAAACTTTATTTTTTCCTGTCGTTATTTTTTAGAAAATCAAAATACTAATTGCAAATTCTCATAGCCACTTTTTTAGGACTATCTGATAGTATTTTTAGATTTTCAAATTAGATGATAATTTATGAGACACAGAGCCCAACTTAATTTCCTTAAATACGAAACTGTATTTTTTATTTCAGTTTTTGAAAGAACTCTGTCTCCTGAGTACAATGATAGGCCACACTTAATATTTTTTTTGTTTCAGACATTTGAACACAATTTATTTAAATTAGCAAGTCTGCCCCTGTTTTTTTGTTTTTTTTTAATTTTTAATCTATTCATCGTTACAATATTGATTAGCTTTCAAACTTAACAATGACGTGGGGCAAAACATTGAATACGGAAAATCAAATACAATAAAATAATAAAAAATAATATAAAATAAATAATATAAATAGAAATGGTGGAGCAGTATAATGGTCAGCAAGGTTCCTGGACCTGTTACTTTACGTCATTTATAAAAGTGAAATCAATACATCTTAACATTTACAATAAAGAGTACAAAAGTATTCGGAAACATAAGAAGAAGATGTGTTCAAAGAGCTATAAAAAAATTGACCGAAAAATTAATTTGTGCAATAGTAACCGTTTCGAAGAAGTAGAGCATTGGGACCAAGTTTATAGAAGTTGGTTTTATTTATAATAACTGCGATTAATATGATCCATATTATTAGATCGTAGGTACACATTGTACATTGAGATTTCATATTCACAATAAAAAAATTAAAAATAATATCTTTAAATTGCTGACCTGGATATTATTTATTTGAATCTTTCAATTGGCTGGATTTTCCATATTCCATGTTAATTAGCCCTGATTAATATTGTTGCGATGAATATGATCAGCTTAAATAATTCAGAAAATGAGAGTCGGACTTGAAATTCTTTTAAATAATAATTAAATAAATTTTATTGTTAAGGTAGGTACCTAAAACAAAAAAAAAAGTATAAAGTGTGACATATCATTGTACTCAAGAGACCGAGCTCTTTCAAAACCTGAAATAATAAATGCAGATCCGTATTTAAAAAAAATTAAGTTGACCTCTGTATAAAAATACTATCAGATAGCCCTAATAAAGTAGCCATGAGAATATGCAATTGCTATTTTTTCTAAAAAGTAACGACAGGAAAAAATCAAATTTATTTTCAAAAAAGTTTTTTCCAAAAAACTCAACAATCCTTGAAATTTTTAACTTGTTTGATGGCATCTTGGTGAACATCCCAAGGCGCAACTTTGCCCCAATTTAACCATCTTCGTATCTATTACAATAGATACGAAGATGGTTAAATGATGTTATTGTGGATATCTTTATGAAATTTGATATAGGCTGTCTTGGCATAAAAATTATTTTTTTGATATACAAAATTGTTTCTGTGATATCGTTTAATTTCCATCCAGTCGATGCACTCGATGAAGAAACGATTTCCAAACATATATCAGATTTTTATCGGTTTGACCCTGTAGTAAAATTATTTTCATTTTTCAAAGCAATAAAAATTGTTTAGAAATGAATAGATTTTTTGAAACTAATGTTTATTTTAAGAGAAGTCAGTGACGTACCATTGTTTTTATCAAAAACATTCAATATAAAACCCGTATGGACACCACTGATTGAAATAAATAAAAGATTTGTACATCAAAAAAGGCAAATTTTGATGCATAGAAGAAGTAGTGTATTAAGTTTCAAAAAGATATCTATACTAACGTCACAGTTATTATATAAAACAAAATATTTTTTTTACCACCCTGTATCTCAAAAGTTAATATTTTTAGGACATACATTCATAACAATCTTAACTTAGTTTACGTAGAATCAAATATTGTATTTCTCTTTATACAGCGCGATACATAAAATCCTTTTATAGGAAATATTTATGTATTAAAAATACAGGGTGTTTCAAAAAACGTGTGCCATCTCTCGTGGGGAGATTCATCACGTAAATATAAGATTTATTTTTCATATCAACATAGGTCCGATTCTACTTTGTTTCGTAGCTACAGGGTGTTAATAAGGTCTTAATATTTCTTCGATTTATTATATTTTCTCCCAAGTACTTTTAGCGTTTCGAATGAAATATTGAGGGTAAAAGTTACTATAAATGCTACATGTTTTATAGCTAAAAAAAGTGTCGATATATTCACCAAGGACGTGCATATATGGGTTATCACTGGAATATTTCTCTAAAAAAAGCATATACGCCACTGGCCTTTTTTTCTCTTGTGAACGATGTAGTGTAAACATAGTTTAATGCCGATTAAAAGTTCTCTCGATATTATTGCCGATTTCGGCCTCCTTGATGAGATAAATGCAATTTTATTAATTTGTCTTGATCCAAAACCTTTAAAACATTTTAATATCATTAACTTGCAAAAGTTTTAAATAAATACTCTTTGATTCCTCATCAAAAAATATGAATTTCAAGTTCTTATAAACATGGGTATGGAAATGCCTAGTTTTAGAGTTACAGAGGATGTTAAAACATTTTAAAATTAGTTTTTTTTGTAATTATCTTAAATACCATTATTTTTTTTTTGAAATTGCTGTATGTTGGCTTAATAGTAATAATAACTATTAGTAATAATATTTAATAATAAATTGAATAAAATAAATATATAATTTGTAAATTTATTTATTTTTATTTTTATTTTATTGATTGTGATTAATAAAATTGCGTTTATCTCATCAAGGAAGCTGGATTCGACGAAATATGACGAGATAACTTTTAATTGATATTAAACGGCCTATACAATTTTAAAATCAAAAGAAACAAGTCAGTGGCGCACATGTTTTTTTTAATATTTTAGTGATATCCATACGTCCCTGATAAATTTATCGAAACTTTTTTAGCATTAAGATATGTAGCACTCTTTCACCTTAACTTTCACCCTAATCACTAAAAGTACTTGGAAGAAAATTATAATAAATCGAAAAATTTGTCTGAAATTTTTTTTAAAACACCCTGTCTATCTTATTCCTTCAATTTAACGGCTATGGTAAATATTTATTCCATTTCAATTCTATAGAAAGGAAAAGTGTGTTTATGTAATTAAATTAAAAGAACCGTTCTTAATCTCTAATAAAATTGTAGTTTTTATAGCACAACGATATTGTTTAGACGATTCTGGAAGAATTTTATAAACACATTATATTATAACATATATTAGATATCATTTATTTATATTATTTATTGATATCATATGATAGACATATTAATTAATTACAAATACAAATATATAAATTTTTGTATTTGTATTTAGAAAAAATTATTTGTTTATTTTGTAGAAATACTAAATAATTTATAGGTAATAAAATAAACATTTGCAGCATTATATTTTTGCTGTTTTAAGATAAATTTTTAAAATATAATGTAGCGCCATCTTTGAGAATGCGTCTCGTTCTCTAGCTGCCATTGAGAGAAAAGGCGCCACAAGCCACTACTTTTATTAAAACATTTTTTATGCTTTAAGCATTTTTTTTAATTATAAACATATCTAGAGTTATATCTAAAAATCTGCATTTATTGAATTTTGATTAATAGTTCACAAACAAAGCACAATTTTTTTCACAATAGGCAACTAGTAAAATCTAAAATCCTGTTTTAACAGAGTTTGATTTTACACCGTCATTATACGTAGGTACTTAATAATAAACTGAAAGAACTGATACGTTAGATATAATATAATCATAGAATATAATACGTTGATGTGGAAAATATTTTTGATATTTCTATAAAATATATTTTAGTGACTTAACATTTGATTTGGATTAGCTTTTTTGATTTGCAGGCAGATGGCAGGTATCTATTTTGATGTCAATGTCAAATATCAAGTGTCATTATCAGATGCTTTCTTTTATTTTTCTTCAGGGAAGTTAATTTTTCTAATTCAAAGCTGATTCAAGCGTTCATGATATAATTCGAAATTTCTTAATTGTACGATTGAAAGTTCCTTTTCTCTGTGCATTCTGGTGCTTCCCGTTAGGTATTTATTCATGGTATATATAAAAGCTTTTGGGTTATTTAAGGTTTTATGTGCTTCCCGTAGAAACATCGTGGTGCTGTCCTGTAAAAGTTATTTATTGTTAATATGGATTAATGTATTAAAGTTTCTAATTCGAAACGGAAATGGATTTACGGTGCTACAAAAATAGTTGTAGATTATGTTTAAAGCCACTTCTAACTCAAGTGAAGAATATATTCACTAATTCGATTGAGGGATATACTGATTCTTTGATTGATATTATATTTTCATTGTTTGGAGTACAGGTACTTTATATTTAGACACTTTTTACACATCATTAATACTTCTAACTTTTGTTTCTTATAGCTTAATGATGAAAGGAAATATCCTCAATATATTTGCAGAAAATGCTTGACTGAAGTGGAAAATATGTTACTATTCAAGGAAGATTTTTTACGTAACCAAAATATTCTTTATAATTTATTTTGTAATAGTGATTCTAGGTCTCAGGAAGTATATTTAATAATATATCATATTTAATAGGTTTACGTTATATAGTATTTTATTAGGTACAAGATGATGATATTATTATAATTGAAGACACAGAAGACTTTCAACCTAGTATACTCACTGAATTACACGAACGAACAAGCACTGAATTACAAGAACGCCCTGTGGTAGAAATGGTGAATTGTATTATTCCCTTAAATATATTTATTTTGTGATAATTTTAGCCTGAACAAGAATATATCAAAGTACCAAAAATATTTCTAAAACAAATAAGCCCTAAAGTTAGATTAAAAAGATTGGAAAATCAAGTTCAGTTTACAAATATATTAGAAACAAAAAAAACTTATTTAAATAAGACTATTTATGCACCGAGAAAACAAGTTTTTTCCCAAATATGTACAATATGTGATAAAACTTTCCGCTACAAGTTACAATTGCAAGTTCATTATAAGAAGAAACACAAGCACGTTAAGGAAAATGATAAATGTTTAAGAAATAGTGGTGTAGAAGATAATGATGTAATTGAGATTAAGGAAAATGGCATAGAGAACTGTGAATCTGATCATAAGAGTTTTAGAACTAAAGGTTAGTGGTATTACATATCTCTAGTAAATAGAAGTAAAATGTCTTGTAATGGTACAAAGTTGTAGTTATAAACTGCTGAACATAGCATAAGTTTTATAAAAGAATGTTGATTGATATAATGTGCGAACTGTTCCATTTGAAATACTTAGTTCAGTAAAAGATAGCCAATGAATGACAATTGAAAAGACATTTTGGTGAAGGGTTTTATGCGTCTCAAATTGACTAAGAGTGGGTCCCATGGGAACCTACACTGCGGCCGAGAGGGCCAATTGTGGCTTTGCATCTCAAAAAGTGGCTCACCTCTATAATTTTTTTCTTTTCTTACAATAAATTCTAATTCTAATTTTCCTACATAATTTAGAATTGATTGACGTATTCAATTGTATTTCGTTACTTCCTGTTTCACCGGAAATGACAACAACTTTTGATTTTTAAATGGCACCCTCGGTATTTTGTTACTTTATTTGATTTCTATCGAATAAAGTAATAAAATACCGATTTTCTAATGACTCTCTCTGGGCAACGGCCTAGCTCAAATTCAAATTCAAACTCATTTATTGGTGTTGCCATACAATAGTATTTACACAGGTCACATTACACAGGATAATAAAAAAAGAAAAAATCAAGCTTAAAAACATAAATAAGTTACTAGTACTAAATTAAAAATAATTGTATATAGACATTAAAACACTAAAACACTAAATAGAATAATGGCATCAACAATTAACCTAAAAACACTAAAATCTAATATTTAAAAATTCCTGGGAGGAATAACAGGAATACCGCATCAGCAGGCTCTTAACCTCAGTCTTAAACCGCAAGAGGGGCATGTCCGCAATTTCCTGAGGTAATTTATTATAGAATTTAACTGCCAGGTACCCAGGTCCATCTTGGCACCTAGTCAATCGGTGGTAGATTGGCACAAGCCTATCCCTACCCCTTGTCTTATGGTGATGGACTTCTCCGTGGACTCTATAAAGGTCTCGGTTCTTTTTCACATAAAGGAGATTTTCCAGTATACAGGGTCCGGCAATAGTGCGTCGGGCATCTGTAGCTCCTAGAATCAAAAACTTGAGAATTTTGTTTAAGTGCATACCTAAAGTATGTATGAGGATGTATTTCCGGAAAATATTTTAACTTCTATAGGGTGGCTCAAAAAAGTGTGAGTGGATCTGGATGATTTTTTTTAAATGGAACACCCTGTGTATTATTGCATTTCTGGCTTCCTTTCAGATCACTTTATATAATCCTAAGATATGAGTTAATCTATTTCGATAGTTTCAGAGATATTAAAAAATAAATCAAAAATATATATTTTTCAACCCTTCTTAAAAAAAATATTAAAAATGCAAGAACTGTTCTGAAATCAAAACTATATTAGATATTTACTTTAGACGGTCGGTTCTTACTTTGCTATAAATATGGTAATCGTAAATCATACAGGATGTTCAATATTTTATGCCTTAAACTTTCAAAAATATAAAATAATTTTTCTTCGTTTTTTTTAATGGAACACCCTGTATATTATTTTTTTATTTGACGGAGAATTAAAAAATGAACATTTTTTGTATTTGAAGTATTTCAAAAGTTTTAATAGTTTTCCGGATACACGCAGTATTATTTTATATGGCGCTTTCAGTGGTAAAATACGAGAGAAAAATCATTAGGTGGCTTTGATAAAAACTTACTATGAAAAATACCATATGAAATACAAGACCGGGAATATCTGCGAAACCGTTAAAAATTTTGAAATACTCTAAATGCAAAAAATGTTCTTTTTTTAATTTTCCATCTATTGAAAAAATAATATACAGGGTGTTCTATTTAAAAAAACAAAGAAAAATTATTTTATATTTTAGAAAGTTTCGCGTAGAATTTTAAACATCCTGTATGATTTACGGTTTCCATATTTATAACAAAGTAAATACAGACCATCTAAAGTAAATATCTAATATAGTTTTGATTTTAGGACAGTTCTTGTATTATTAATTATTTTTTTAAGAAAGGCTAAAAAATATATAATTTTTATTTATTTATTAATATCTCTGAAATTATCGAAATATATTTACTCATGTCTTAGGATTATGTAAAGAGATCTGAAAGGAAGCCAAAAATGCAATTATATACAGGGTGTTCCATTTAAAAAAAATCATCCCGATCCACTCACACTTTTTTGAGCCATTCTATAGAAGTCAAAATATTTTCCTGAAATACATCCTAGTACATACTTTAGGTTTGCGCTTAAACAAAATTCTCAAGTTTTTTTTATTTTAAGAGCTACAGATGCCCGACGCACTATTGCCGGACCCTGTATATGCCGACGGGACAGTCAACACACCCACAGCCCTGAATGCCTGCCAAACCAAACCAAACCAAACCAGCCAAGACTCGCACAGCCGCCCTTTGCAAGCCGAAGATCCTCTTTAGTTGGGCTGTATGTCCCCAAGCGAGAATAGCATAGGACAAGATCGAGTGGAACAAAGCAAAGTATGCAGTCCTCAGTACAGGCCCGGAAACACTTCCTGAAAGGCGACGCAGAGCAAACAATCTCCTTCTAAGCCTAGACGCAACCCCATCGACATGCTCATGCCACCGAAGCAGAAGATCAATCTGCACTCCCAGAAACCTAATACTCTGGACATCTGCGTTTGCTGTTTCTAAGTCCCTAAGAGAGAAAACCATCCTATTGGTTTTGTCAGGATTCAGGAGCAACCTATTGGCACAAAACCATGCCTCAACATGGCCCCGCACTACCTCACTCCCTTCCATGGCACCCTCCAATGAGTCATGAGAAGGCCACTGTTGTGTCATCAGCGAAAAGTGTAAATTTAGATGTTGAGTCTATATATGGTAAGTCGTTGATATATATCAAAAATAGAATTGGTCCGAGCACTGAGCCCTGGGGCACTCCAATATTAACATGACTCATCGCTGATGACTCCCCACCGACCCTCACAACCTGAACTCTAGAAGTAAGTTTGGAACGCATGAAATTAATACTATCCAGACTAAAATTGTACCTTTCAAGCTTCCGTAACAGTATGTCATATGGTACACAATCGAATGCCTTACTCAGATCGCAAAATAAGGCCCCTGTAAAGTCAAGACTATCAAAAGACTCCAGAACACAAGACACAAGTTCCAGTATACCAAGAACCGTATTCCTATTTTTTCTGAAGCCAAACTGGCACGGTGTAAAGAGATTATTGCTCTCGAAGAAATGCGTTAACCTGGAAGCAATACACTTCTCAAAGATCTTTGAGATGATAGGTAGTAGAGAGATGGGCCTATAATTACCAGGATCTTCAGGGTTGGCTTTTCTAAAAACAGGCGTTATTTGGGCAATCTTCAGTGCATCTGGAAAAGTGTTTTCTCTGAAACTCTGATTAATAAGTTTAGTTAAAGGACCTATTAGTTGGTTTTTGACCGACTTGATGAGCTTTATATTTAATCCAAACACATCAGAGCTATGCTTATTTTTCAGGCCGTCAACAACATCTCTGATCTGAACAGGTGATGCGCCAGAGAAAAAGAATGGGGTCTCACTGACAGCAAAATCATGCACGAACTCAAGAGGATCAAGCCCCCTCCAGTAATTTCAGAACTCGTGAAAATTTGGTGTTAATGTCTAAATCACCACTAAAGTTCCAGTCACTTGCTTCAACCAAATTAAAGAATCTTAATATTCCCCTATGTGTTAATGGCCTACACACCTTTCTCTCCCGCAAGAGACGATCCTGAGAACGCATCAAGAGAAGCTCGAGCTCCTGCCCCAGGTGATCAGATATACCGTATGATCGAATAAAAATGGCGTCCAGTTGGCTTGGAAATGACGATCGATGACATTTCCCATATAAATTTACATATAAAATGACAGCGATCTTCATTTCATAGCCATCGCTGACGCCGTTTTTATTCGATCATACGGTACTTAGATCAACAACGTCCGATAAAAAAGAATCCTTACAGAAATTAATAAAAATGTTATCCAGATATGCTTGTTGTCTTGTTGGGGCGGTAATTGTCTGCACAAAGCCGTGGCACTCAACTCTGTCTGGCCTGTATTAAAATGGACATTAATTAGCTAGCTAGCTACGTCGAAACACCGGTTCCCATTAGAACACCGAAGTTAAGCGATGTACGGCGATATTAGTGGTGACCGATTCGAAACTCTGTATCGTGCTGTTGTCCATAAAAAGGCAAAAGTGTAAAATCTATTGACACACACTGCTCATTCACGCCGGTTCGAGGCCGGAAGAGATCGGATATCTCGTGAGTAAGAGTCGATTTAGACACTTGCCAAGTCGGTAGGCCATTGACCATGATATGGCTGAGGACCGCGGTTCGGATTCCGCGTAAACAAAGTAGGCCCCGTCCAGATTAGCCCTGGCAGCAAAATCTTTACTTTACTTTAATGACTCTCTGAATGACTCCCTGGTATATTTTTACTTTATTCAATAGAAAATAACACTCTGAATAGAATGACATATCATATGTCAACTTTTGACATTTTAGCTTAAAGAAATTGTATTTTAAATTTCAGTCTAGAGTGCCGTCATAGGCCATAGATGTGTTAAAAACACTAATTGTTAATCAAGGAGTCTTGGAAAAATATATTTCAGCGTTTAATGATGTTCGTGTCTTGTCCGGGCCCGTTTAAGATGCCCAAATCGTATTTTTATTCATCATACCTCAATTTTTTTCAATTTTTCACCCTTGTTGACTCATTAGCATATTTGGAAAAAGTATTTTTTTTATGAATAATTTGGTACCACACACTTGTTATTTCGAGTCAGATGGTCATTATGAACCGCATGTTACAATTTCAAATAAACCTTATGGAGAAAATGGCAAAAATTGACATATTATATGTCATTCTATTTAGAGTGTCATTTTCTATCGAATAATGTAAAAACATACCGGGAATATCATTAAAAATCAAAAGTTGTAGTCATTTCCGGTGAAACCGGAAGTGACCAAAAACAAACTGAATACGTCAA